GTAGTTGAGACTTGGTGCTTAAATGGATATTGCATATATACATAAAAATACAAAATATGTTCCTATGTGTTCATTTCTAGGTGAACAGACTTTGGAATTATATCTCAATCATCTATTCAACAATAGAAACAATGTATCAGGAGCTCAGGACCATAGGGTAATCCTTTATTGTATAGTGTACCTCCCCCTCTTCTGGTGGTTCACCCGCTGGGGGTTTTTCCCTGTAAAGCTGGACCTCAAGGACTGTAGGGAGTCTATTCCTGAGCATATTCGGAGTAGATATATCATATAACCAGCCCAGGACACACAGGATCCTTCTCCAGGAACAAAGCATAGACAATTGCACTTGTGACATTTTTTCACAATTTTCAGTATCTTGCCCTTGCATCCATGATCCAACCTTTTAATATATAATGAGCATAGCTTATATTCTTGCTTCTTATGACCAAGATCAGCTTACAATAGGCTGGAGTTTGTGAGCTAGTGTGCATACTTGCCATTTTGCCTGATAAGGGGCCCATGCCTTCAAAACATTGAATCTTTATAATCAGAAACCTGGGGTACATTTCAAATATCTTAAGTATCATAGACATAAATTTACAGACAAATCAACCAAGAATTGAGTACTGAGGAAGTGAAATGGGTAAGAAATTGAGTGTGGGAAACTTCAAAGACCCAAAGCATCGAAAATGGTTAGTTGAGCAGTGGTAGGACTTTAATGCTGGGTCAACTCATATTTTCACTATATCCCTTCTACACACCCCCTACCCTCAGGGCAGTAGGCAGTATGGGTTCCTTGGGTAGTTTACAATCTATGCTACATATTTGTAATGATATTTTTGGCCTGAATCATATATAAATGTGACTTTGTATAAAAGATGTCTACTGTCACTCTCCACACATCATTTTGCCTATCATTACATCAATCCTTCATGAATATTTCTAAGCTTTTAAGCTATTATAATGGATGTATATGGGTGTTATTCCAGGTCTCTGATCACATCACAGGCTTGTCATGTTGGATATCTCGACATAATGTGCAAGTCTCACTATTAATATTCATTCTTTATCTTTAGACTCACTTACTGCACACATGTATTTCATTTGTCATTATTGATGTTTTGGATTTCTTTAGCTTATATCTTGGTCACATGGTAACCAATGGACAAGAAAAGACTACAAATAAACTCACCTAGACTCGGACTACAACCTTGATTAAGCTGACTACTGATTCCCAGATACTGAGTATCAAAACCAAATACTGAGTACCAATTACCATGTACCAAGTACTGCGTAATGAGTAACAAGATAACCAATTGACAAGAAAAGACTACCACTACACTCACCTGGACTTGGACTACAACCTTTGGTAAGGAGTTAAGCATAATAACAACTTTCATTTTTTCATTATTGCTGATGTTTTGCTGAATGACAAGGAAAGACTACCAAGTCACTCACCTTGACATGGACTACAACTGTCATTTTTCATTATCATTTGCCTATATTGACTACCGAGTCTCGAGTACCAACCACTGACCACCAATCACCGAGTGCCGAGTACCGAGTACCGATAGGGAATAGTGTGGGTGAACCCCGGGGTATGAGTAGCACTACCCCCACCCATACCCCATGATATACCCACACCCACCTTGTGGGTGTGGGTTTTTTGGTGGGTATCAGGGAGAAACTACCGAGTCTTGAGTACCAACCACTGACCACCAATCACCGAGTGCCGAGGACCGAGTACCAAGTACCGAGTCCCGAGTCCCAAGTCTCGAGTCCCGAGTCCTGAGTCTCGAGTCCCAAGCCCTGAGTCTCGAGTCCCAAGTCCCGAGTCTCGAGTCCCGAGTCCCGAGTCTCGAGTCCCGAATCCGGAGTCCCGAGTCTCGAGTCCCGAATCCGGAGTCCCGAGTCCCGAGTCCCGAGTCCCGAGTCTCGAGTCCCAAATCCCGAGTCCCGAGTCCCAAATCCTGAGTCCCGAGTCCCAAATCTCAAGTCTCGAGTCCCGAGTCTCGAGTCCCAAGTCCCGAGTACCGAGTCCCGAGAACCGAGTACCGAGTACCGAGTCCCAAGTACCAACCACTGACCACCGATCACTGAGTGCCAAGTACCAAGTACCAAGTACCAAGTCCCAAGTCCCAAGTCCCAAGTCCCAAGTCCCAAGTCCCAAGTCCCAAGTCCCAAGTACCGAGTACTGACAAATACAATTTGTGTCCATTTGAAGTACCAGGTTTCAGGTTTTGACACTCGACACTTGGTGATTTGTGAAATGAGTGAAAAATGGACATGTTGTGTACATGATGTTGGGTTTTGGGCTTTGGGTCTCGGCCCTCGGCACTCGGAACTCGATGATTTGAGTAATGTAAATGAAAAATCAACATGTTGCATGCCGGGTTTTGAGTTTCGGGTTTCAGCACTCAAAACTCAGTGATTTGTACAGTGAGTGAAAAATGGACATGTTGTGCACATATTTTCGGGTCTCGGGGTTCGGGTTTCGGCCCTCGGAACTCGGAACTTAATGACTTGTGTAATATAATTGAACAGTGGACACGTTGCACACCCGGTTTTGAGTTTCAGGTTTCAGCACTTGAAACTCGGTGATTTGTGCAACAAGTGAAAAATGGAAATGTTGCATACATATTTTCGGGTCTTGGGCTTCGGGTCTCGGCCCTTGGCACTTGGAACTCGATGATTTGTGTAATGTAAATGAAAAATCAACATGTTGCATGCCAGGTTTCAAGTTTCGGGTTTCAGCACTCAAAACTCGGTGATTTGTGCAATGAGTGAAAAATGGACATGTTGTGTACATATTTTCGGGGTTCGTGGTTCGGGTTTCGGCCCTCGGAGCTCGGAACTCAATGACTTGTGTAATATAATTGAACAATGGACATGTTGCACACCCGGTTTTGAGTTTTGGGTTTCGGCACTTGAAACTCAGTGATTTGTGCAACAAGTAAAAAATGGACATGTTGTGCACATATTTTCGGGGTTCGGGGTTCGGGTCTCGGACCTCGGACCTCGGAACTCAATGATTTGTGTGACGTAAATGAAAAATCAACATGTTGCATGCCGGGTTTCGAGTTTCGGGTTTCAGCACTTTAAAACTCAGTGATTTGTGCAATGAGTGAAAAATGGACATGTTGTGTACATATTTTCAGGTCTCAGGGTTCGGGTTTCGGCCCTCGGAGCTCGGAACTCAATGACTTGTGTAATATAATTGAACAATGGACATGTTGCACACCCGGTTTTGAGTTTTGGGTTTCGGCACTTGAAACTCAGTGATTTGTGCAACAAGTGAAAAATTGAAATGTTGCATACATATTTTCGGGTCTCGGGCTTTGGGTTTCGGCACTTGGCACTTGGCACTTGGTTATTTGTGTGATATAAATGAAAAATCAACATGTCACACACTGGCTTTCCAGTTTCACGCTTTGGCACTTGAAACTCAGTGATTTGTGCAGTGAGTAAAAAATGGACATGTTGTGTACATATTTTCGGGTCTCGGGGTTCGGCCCTCGGCCCTCGGCACTCGTAACTCTATGATTTGGGTTATATAAATGAAAAATCAACATGTTGCACACTGGGTTTCAAGTTTCACGCTTTGGCACTCAAAACTCGGTGATTTGTGCAACAAGTGAAAAATGGAAATGTTGCATACATATTTTCGGGTCTCGGGGTTCTGGGTTCAGCACTTGGCACTCGGAACTCAATGAATTGTGTAATGTACATGAAAAATGGACATGTTGCACACTGGGTTTCAAGTTTCATGCTTTGGCACTCGAAACTCGGTGATTTGTGCAGTGTGAAAAATGGACATGTTGAACAATGGGTTTCACGGTCTCAGGTTTGAAAAATAGCATAATAACAACTTTCATGTTTTCATTATCATTTGCCTATATTGACTACCGAGTCTGATAAGAGACCCCTTGGATGATTCATTGCTCAATGAAATACTACCTGATTGGAAGTGTGCTGGTTATCAGATATTCATTTGTTGACTCCCGGGTCCCGGAACTTGGAAGTCGGTATGGTTGACCCAAATTTGGGTGGTCGGAACTTGGCATCTCATAGGGCAACACAAGCTTCACACCCTGGATTCCAAATTCTGCAAGACAACCTGTGCACCATCAAAGGCCATGTCAGGAGATCACCTGCTGCTCCGGGAACTCAGGAACTTTGATTTATTACCTCCTCTGAGTACGGTTGACCCAAAGGTTGGTAATCGGAACTTGGCTTCTCATAGGGTAACACAAGCTTCGCACCCCGGATTCCAAATTTTGCAAGACAACCTGTGCACCATCAAAGGCCATGTCAGGAGATCACCTGCTGCTCCAGGAACTTGGTAACTTTGATTTTATTACCTCCTCTGATTTGGTTGATGTACAACTACCTCAGCTCCATCGTGTTTACAATTATGATACACATGGGCCCACCCATCTATATTTTATACCACCCTCGGCCCACCCGTCTAATACAACATCCCATACAACACCCTCGGCCCACCGGTCTAATTAATATGCGTCTGGGCCCACCCGTATAATACAATATTGTATAATACCCTCGGCCCACCCGTCTAATTTAATATGTGTCTGGGCCCACCCATGAATGTGATAACAAGTACCTACCCATCTATCTCATACACATCTACCTTAATACACCCATCTGCATAATATCCAACTACCTCGGCCCACCCGTCTACCTAATATTCATGTACATCGGCCCACTCATCTACTCTATATATCCCCTGCATGGGCCCACCCACCTCCATCGGGAATAATTTGCCTCCCGGCCCATCCGTCATAGTCGAGGATATTTTTATCATGGGCCCATGGTCCGCTGGCCCGTATCATACGGGATATTATGCACGTCCGTTCCCTCGTATTATACGGAAATAGGTCACTGTAATATGTGGAATGTATGGGTAAGGGCCGCATACTTAGCATTGAGATGCGCGAGTCTCTACACCGTGGATGATGAATCTTGGCTAGGTTTTTTCAACGATGCCACAGGTGGTGCTAATGTGTGTCATCAGTGTTTTTATTCAGTTCCAGTGCTGACCTCTTGATCTCAGTCTTCCAGAACGTACTGTAACTATCACCATTCCTCTTCCCGCCGTCCTCGCCCTCTTGCCCTTTCTTCTGGGAGCGTTAATACACTCCTCAGTCACCTTTCGTTACCTTTCTGCCGCTCTCACTCCAAGGCTAATAAATCAACTGAACTCCAGCAACGCCCAAGGCAGGCCTCATTGTCTCGTGGTCCTCATATTGTTGAAGTTTTTGCAGTGAAGGACAGAGAGGTATGTATCTTTTGTGTGCATTCCCTATCATTTAATGATTTCTGTCGAGGTCATATATACTGCCCCGCCACCACCAGAAAAGACACAGCAGCAAAACCAATTGCACGCCCAGGGGTTATCCACGGCACAGCCTGCCCCAGGTGCTAATTCTACTATACCACATTCAAGACATGTGCATTCACTACCCATCTGGTTGTTGGCTCATTTTGTGCTTTTTCTCTGCTGCGCATCTCCTCAGCACGCCGATGCTAATGCACAATCAATGCAGCAGCAGCAAGGTCAAGTCCAGCCCCAGGCATCATCATTGCAGACTCAATCTACGGCCGCCTTGACATCTACGATACCTACTCCCGCAACTAGTCCTACTGCGCTAAGTGCAGCAAGCGCGTAGCCATGGCCCCTTCTATGGCGAACTCATTTCTGCTGTGCAACTCCCCACATGCTGTTGGACATCGATACAGGTGCTCAACTATTTCACATTTACTTATAATTCTTCTGTAGTCTTATCTTTTTCCTCATATCATTTCGCAACCAATGTACATCAATCTTGTTTCCGCATGAGGCCCATGCAATGTATTGAACTCAATGATGTCAACCATTTGAAGAGGAACATTTTTAAAAAGAATTCTGTTTTATTGTCTTCTAAACTTTAGGGTCTGTGGCCCCGTTGAAGGTACAACAATTCAGATGGTGAGTCTGAACAATGTGTTGGGTCTTGCAGAAACTAGCTGCTATTCGACCCTAAAGGGTTTCTGGACCAGGCTCAAGGCTCAGAGTAGAGGAAATATCATAAAAACTTGCTGATCTCTCAGACTCATACTGGTAACTGGTGAAAAGATTGATTGATTATGTAAGCTACAAAAGTGCCAACATAAGGTGAGGTAAAAACAGTCTCTACAAGCCCAGCCAGAAATGAATCCCTACACCGTGTCGAACATAACCCTATTCAAGTGCGGGGTGCTCACTCTTGGCTTTCTATCGTAAGGCAAAAGGAACATTCAAGTTCAATTAAAATGATGACTAGCACAGATGATGGTTTGTTGTCCTGCACAACCCATTATCTGTCTAGATCTTCGTTTCGCAACTCAATTTCGTCACCTAACTAGGAGAATAGTCAACACAGCGACGATTCGGCAAGAGAATCTCACCAAATGCAGCATGCTTTTGCTACTCATCGTCTTCAATGGATGTTGTATATGGTAGCCTGCATCAGGAAATCGGCCATGAGACGATTTCAATTGATATTTCTGGCAAAATCAAACCAAATATCGACATATTATATCCAAATACATAGTTTTATATAAGCACCACCACAATGGCACTGGATGACAAGTGATTGTAAGAAAACTCCAATATAGATGTGTCTCGCAAATATGATACTTTGTAGATAAATTATTGAAAGAAGTTCAGCATCACTCCATAAAATGGTCACCTGCTGCATTAAATTCACTTTGTGATGGTTGTTTGCAATGTTACCTAGTTGGCAATCAAAAGATGCAAAAGTCTCACAATATTGACACAAAATGGTCATTAGTGGAAGTTGTGATGTGTCTAGGTCGCCATCCAGGTAATGCCTTGTCAACTGCTGGGAGTTTTTGACTAAATGATCATCCATTACTCATAGTGCCACGATTGTTATAACTCAAGTGTATATTGGCAGCAAAAGTCTCTGTATAGACATCCCAGACTTCAAGGCAAGTCCCCACCTCTGACTTTACTGCGAGTTTCTCCGAGTCTGGTGAAAATAAAATTGCGCCTGGCCAATCAAGGATCGCGAATGGACCAGCCACAAGTTTACCAGTGTCCAAGCTCCATATTCGTGCTGTAGTCTTATGATCTGTTCGCCAGTAGTGTGCTGTCTGCGGAGATATCAACACAGGAAACTCTTTCTGAGTGTTACAATCATGCTTTACTTTCGCTTCTCTGTTCTCTTTGTCCGATAGTACGCTTTCCATTTATGATCACTTACCTTTCTTGGACTATGTACTTATATCTCACAAATACCTTGGTCTGTGCGCACATATTGACTTATTTAAGCATGTGTATTAGCCTTGTAGAACTTCACTTGAATCTTACTAGGTTTTACCAGAACTTCCTTCGCTTAAGACCTCCAATCTTAAGTCGTCTGAACTAGCATTCTTAGTCGAAGCACTCCTTTGACTAAGTCTTTACAGAACCCCTTCTTTTCTGAAGGACTTCACGAAACTCAACAGCTCGAAACTCTGTTGAGTCGCTGTTGTTAGAACTACCCTAGTTCGTAACACTGAGTGTACCAGTCTACTTTGTGAGTCGTCGGCAAGTTACCAATGATGTTGCATGCATCTCATCTCGTCAATGTCCTGGACTTCTGAACCATAGTGGAGATAAGAAATGCAAACATACAACGGTCTACGTTCATAAATAATGAAAAAAATACGACCATAATATGCGCGAAGGGTATCAATGAAACCATCCACAAACAGAAACACAACCGATCGCCCCCATGCTCTCTGGTGTTGGATTGTACTGCAGTAGCCGATTCTTGTGAATCAGGATGTGGTGAAGGAGGGTCGAGATATTCACCAGGTACTATATTATTGTCTTTTTTGGGAGCACCCACTGCGGTGTTGCACTGCAATCAATCCATGAGACTTCCAGTTTGATGAAAAAAACCAACTGAGCACACCTCTTTAGCCTGAGCATGAGGAACATTAATGACAGATGGCGGAGACCGGGCAGCACTCCATCCAGGCAACATGTGTAGGGTAGGTGAGAGTAGCTCAGAGGTCCTGTGAAACTACAGTCTATCTGTGTGCCATACTTGGTTGTCCATGGCTCCTGCTGCTTGGTTTCGAAGGCATGTTGCTGTGCATAAACAACAGGAAGTAGCGTGAGAGGAAGGTATCTCATTGTCAGTAGCACCTGTGATGTTCCTTCAATGTCAGTGCCAACTTATGAGGGCAATCACGAGAGATCTCTGGGGATGAGACAGGAAGTGCGTATGGTGTGGGAGGCGGTCGAGACATGAACATCGATAGAAAATCATGGACAAGATCGGCCGCTGCCATGCCTGTGATTTCGGCTGTAAAATAATGTCTCAGTCCTGGTCATAAACCGCCAACTGCTGTCAAACATGCCACAGCATCCTTTTTCGATTGACCCTTGGCAGAAAAGCATGGAGTGTTCTGGCTCTACAGCCACCCAATCCAAAGCAGTTGGTAAATGGGGACCGGTGGCTCCATGGTAGAGAAGAGTGCCCATGGGGATGATTCCTGGGACTATTGTATGACCTGCAGGACATATATGATAAGTCATGACTCATCTGCACGGTGCTCAGTATCTCCAGACATACCAATACAATGACATGTATTTGGCCAGTTTTGAAGCAAAGAATTGACCATTTTGAACACTAGATGTCCTGTCGCGTTCACTGCAGGTCCTTCATCAAGGTCCCACTGTGTGAGATCATTTTCGAGCCCCGGGTCAAAGGATAGAGGTGGATGGCTCGACAGAGGTATCTGTGCAGTCAAAACCTATTCAAAGGCAAGAAATGGCCAAACAGCTTTCCTTGTACACCATTCCGACAAAGGGCCAAGGACCATTGTAACCTTAGTTATATACTGGGCACTGCATCTTCCATAAAGGCATCATCCGGGTTTGATTTCCTTCAACTTGAAACTGATCGGTAAATTTGGTAGCGGTTGAGGTGGTGCACAGTTTTCAAAGTTCATTCTTCTATAATTCAAGATTGTCTTCCAGCAGGCATCAGATTTTCAATGATAGGAATAATGATGGAAAATGAATGCAATGTTACTTCCTGAATTTCGCTGTGCACAGCAGGTACTTAGCTACCGCTGTCAGACTCAGCCTTGAAGGAAGTAATGACCGGTCACCGGGTTCAGAGTTGCAAAATTATTATGCGGTCATCAAATGCTGATGCCCAGTGAAAATCAACAAGAATGAGGTAGATATACATAGATAGATATCTAAAAAAATAAAGGCCCATGAAATCTATCGATGTATTTAGACAAATGAGACTTTTTGAGATGGAAAAAGAAAGACATTGAAATTTTTTTTAGATGTTTAGATACAATTCTCAATCTGTTTAGACCTACCGATACACATTTACATATGAAATATCACTTGATTTGATCCAAAAACAAATCTAACGAGAGCAAATGACATTATCTATAGGTATTGCTATCATTAGGTGAGTAGGGTATCACTGCTCACTGCGCCTCGTCCACCATCCCGCCCGCCATCCTGCTGTAGGGATTCATTTCTGGCTGGGCTGGTAGAGACTGTTTTTACCTTACCTTATGTTGGCACTTTGTAGCTTACACAATCAAGTTATCTTTTCACCAGTTACCAGTATGAGTCTGAGAGATCAGCAAGTTTTCATGATATTTCCTCTCCTCTGAGCCTTGAGCCTGGTCCAGAAACCCTTTAGGGTCGAATAGCAGCTAGGTTTGGCAAGACCCAACATTGTTCAGACTCACCATCTGAATTGTTGTACCTTCACTGCCATCCCGCTGGAGCGGTGTATCCGCGACTAAACACCTGCGTATCAAACGCAAGGGAAGAAGTGGTGAGGCTCTACACTACTACAAAGCCCGAAGAGCACTGAGTGGCTGACTAATCTACGGAGCTATCCGGCTGCTGCTATGCTGCTGCCCCTGGGGTCCCCTACTCCATGTGCCCCCCTTGAAAGAACCGGCAGTGTCCTCGTCGCCTACTACTCTGTGCCTCCAAACATATTCTCGTGCCTCTCTTCGTTTTCTGTTTCTACACCTCCATGTTCTACATCTTCGTCTTCTATTGTGGGATTGTCTTCTTCGTCACTTTGCTCTTCTGGTATGTCGTTTTCCTTTTCTCTCTCCTTTTGTTCTTCCGCTAATTTTGTGCCATTCCTTGGTATGAATGTTCTCAGCCTTCGTGCGTGGAATTCTCCCGCCAGGAGTTCTCCTTCTAACGTTTCTAAGCGATACGAGTTGCGTATTCGCTCTTTGATACGATGCAGCATTGACCATTTCGGTAGGAGCTTGCGTTTCGCTTTGAGGGTGCTATGCGCATTACTGTGGAAAAATTGAACCAACTGTCCACTGTTGAAAATGACTTCCCTTGGAGATTGAGCTAGTACCCGTTTGTCGAACATCACCTTTCGTTTGATAGCATGTCGCACAATGGCATCATATCCATCTAGCTGCTGCTGTCCTACGTAGGCTATGTGTGCGTTTGCGTCTGATAGCCTTAATGCCGATGTGCTTTCCGTGATGTCCGTTCGTGGTGTGTTGATTATCTGCCCTAAAAGAAGTTCTTTCGGTGAGAATTTTAACGCGGGTAAGATTCGATAGTTCAACGCTGTCACCGCTTCATCTAGATACTTTGGCCAACACTTTGGTAGATCTTCCCATGCTATCCTTTCGTATTCGTCTTCCCCCAGATTGGGAGCACATAACTGTTTGAGAACGTGTAGGAGCAGCTTGTTTGTTCCTTCAACGAGCCCGTTGACCCATGGCGAGTAAGCCGCTACCACATGTGTCTTACATAGCCATTTTGCGCAAAACTCTCTGACCTCTGAGTTGTGGAAATGTCGTCCTCCATCACTCATGAATGTTTCTGACGCTGTGAAACCCCGAAAGATATGTCCGAGACTGTCAATCGTGGTTTTCGCTGTCCCAGCATGTTTGTACTTGAAGACCCATACATGTTAGGAGAACATGTCGAGATACACTCCCAGTGTGTGGTACCCGTTTGCCTTTGGCAACGTTAAGTAATCGCCTACTAGTAGTTCGAAAGGATGTCTACGAGTAATTGGTTCTAGAAGTGAGTGCAAATGCTGATTTCCGAAATTCTTGCACTTAGCGCATTCAGAAATTGCCTTCATAATTGACGCGTCGAGACCGGGGCTGTGTATCTTGTCTGTGAGCGCTATCTTGATGGCGTCCCTCCCCCAATGTCCCTTTCCTTCGTGTTGCTTGATGGCCATTTGCATAGCTTCCTCCCTGCTAACACATTCTACCCTGCTTCGAGCTCGGATTGTTGTACCTCCGTGTAGGCGCCAAAGTTTACCGTCCTCGATGAGGTATTGCGATGCTTGATGTTTTGCTCTTTTGTGATTGCGAAGTGGCTTGTCTGCATCTAGTTGTCCAATGGACTCTATGACCTGAAGGAATACGGGTTCCTTGGCAAATCTTTGCTGTAGGCTAGAAAAGGTGTCTGAATCAGTGTTCTTGTCTATGAGGAGCATATCATTAATCAAGCCGCTGTTCTTTTCCCAGTCCTCGCTAACGGTCCAAGTGCTTCCATCTTCCGCATCTACATTGCGTGGCTGACCCTCCCATTGTCGGCTGAGGCCATCTGCGATTACGTTCAGTTTTCCCGGTACGTGTCTTACATCCACTATGTTGTGCGCTAAAATCCCGTCCCTCCAACGTGCGTGTGCCGCGTTGAGGTTATCACTTAGTAGGACGTCTCGCAATGCTTGACAGTCAGTTTCTATCTCCACAGGAAATCCCCATACTGTATCAGAAAACTTATCCAGTCCGAATTTGAGGGTCGCAAACTCTAGTAAAAACGGTTTGTACTTTTGTTCCGTTTTCAACGTTCGTTTTGACGCAAATGCTATCGGTAATAAGTGTTCTGTCCACTTGCCCGACAGCTTTTGCTTGCTGACTCATTGACTTAGTACTGCCGCGAAGCCTTCTTGACACCCATCAGACGTGACTATGAAGTTTGATCCGTCGTAGCGTGGTGCTTGCAGTATTGGTCTTGAAACTAAAGCTGATTTTAGATCTAAAAACGCTGTTATGTGGTCAGTAGTCCATTTTTCTGCAAGCTTAAAGTCTCTTAGCGTGCGTCGATACATTGCTTTTGAATACGGAGTTTTGAGAGGTGCTGCTTTCACGAGGTTGCGTAATGGCCCTTCTCTCTTGGCATAGTTCTGTATTAAATCCCTGAAATGACTCGTTAATCCTAAAAATGATTCTAAATTGAGAGCGTCAGTGGGTGGTTTCCAGTTAACGATTGCGGTAAGCTTCTCTAGATCAGGTTGGACGCCTTGAGGTCCAACTGTTGCGCCTGCGAATGTTGTCTCCATCATGAACAATCGGCACTTCGTTGGTGATAGAGATATTTTCCGTTCCCGACATCATTCAAAGATTTGTTCTAGCTTCATTAGCATCTCACGAAATGTATCTGCTGCAGTCCCACCGTCGTCTACGAACAGCTCCATTATTGCCTTTGCTGTGAGGTCGTGTAGATGTGTTGCTGTCATATCTGCAAACATTGATGGTGCTCCTGTGAGTCCCATTGGCATCCGTTTGTACCAGAAGTAGCCGCGCCCTTCTATGTAAAACACCGTGTATGGTCTTGACTCTTCTGGGATTTCAACGGCATAGAACCCGGATGCGAAATCAAATACTGATACGTACTTGTGTCCACTCAGATGTTGCTGTTTTGCTCGAATATCACCTTGCGGCATTGGCGCTATGAGGGTGTGCTTGTTGACTTCGTTAAAGTTCTGGCAAATACGCCATTTCTGCGGTGCTACTGGTCTTTGTTCAACTGGTTCATTCGGCACTTCCCTTTCGGGGAGTGTGAACGCTGGTGGTTGTCCTTCTTGTGCATATTGTTCATTGACCCTGTATCTTAACTCTTCAAGCGTTAAACCTTTCTGTTCGTGCACTTTTTGGGCTAACACTGTGGTTGCACAGCACTTTACCGCATCTGGCGGTGCTCGTTTGATGATACCCGCTTCCAACATTTTGTCAATGCGTCCATGTAAAAACTGAGTCTGTGGAGGGGTGAGCACGCGTTGGTGGACCCTTAGCTTGAATGTTGCATCCTTTGGTATGTTGAGGTTATGTTTCGCTCCCAGTACCTGGATAACTTCTGATAGTGAGCATGTGAAAATGTCTGCATACCTTGTTACTAGCGTTTCCGCTTGCTTGCGTTCATCCTCTGTAAGTGTGTCTCCGTACTGTACCGCTTTAACGATATAAGCGACTCTTTTGGGGTTGTTTGGGTCCGTTACCCTCGTAAAGATTGCTTTGTCGTTCTGTAGGAAATTTGCTGGGATTGCGTCTGATACTCCTTCTAACGATTCTTGTAGCAGCGTGTCTTCGTCTAAGCTCATACTGGTTGAAGTCGTGTTTCCTGTTTCTGGCATTTGATCAGTGCGTTTTCCAGTCTTCTCATGATTGGGACTTGATACTTCCTTTGTTATGACGCCTTCTCTCCCTTCCTCTTGTTCCTGCGTTACCATCGTGATGTCTTTTCCTTCTTCCTCTACATCTTCGACCGATGCTGTTTTCGCTCGACTTTGGTTATAGAGCGTTCTTGTCCCGCCTTTCCCCATTACCTGCACTTGGTCTTGGTCTGTGCTGTAGTCGTGTATAGCTTGGAATGCTCCCAGCATTGGTTTCCCTAGAAGAAAATTCCATCCTCCCCCTCCATCGAATACCTCAAACTCTCCTTCTGTTTGAACTCCTCTGATCGTAATCTTCCCTTTCCACGTTGCCTGCGATGGCGTAATCGTTCCGTTGGCCATGCGCAATCGTCGTGTTGATGGTGTCCAGTTCCCCAACTGATGCTTGACTCGATTGAACATGGATGAGCACATTGCGCTGACCATGGCACCTTCGTCAAATAACGCCTTTGCTCGTACTATCTCTCCTTTTGGTCCTTCAAAGGAGATGTTTTGTATAAATGGTTGACATGTCCGCTGCCTTGCTTCTTCATCCATCGAATACAAGTTAATGATATCGTATTGTTCGTTCTTAACTTCAATGACATTGACTGATTGGGATGTATACTCGGCAGGATTGGCATGTTGGTCCTCGCGTGCCTCCTCTTTGCATGCGAGGACTGGCAGTCCGTAGCTATGAGGTATGTCCTTTGGGTGGGTCGTCGTGTGGTCCTCTACACCGAAGACCCACTCTCTTTTCCCTGCTCTCCCATATACCCATTGTCGAACACAATGTTAATTTGCAGAGCTGTTGCTCGGTTGAATGTTCCCAGCGTGCACGTGCTTAATCCTCTCCAGATTGATTCATTCTTCGGCAGTTGGTCGTCCACCGGTACTTGACATTCTGGGCCAATGTGCCCGTGTGCGCCGCATCTGAAACATTCTCCTGAGAAAATTTGCGCCGTTCCCGGCATCAGTGGGTAGGGAGACTGCTCTGTGCATCTAACTCCTTTCCCCCATTGCGTTTCCCATCTCCGTATCTGTTCCTCGTATGCTATCTGTCCATCTGCCGTATCTGGATGGTGTGGGAGTTCATTGATGCATATTCTCATGAGATCCCGCTCTTCTTGTGTTGGCGGCTGACCTCTTGGACATTGTAGCATATTCTGATTCGCTGTCACGTATTGTACTTGCCGGCGAGCTGAGTTGGACATGGTGTTACATGTTGCGTTCGTGCTGTTATGGGGTCTGGTTTGCGTGCTGGTGGTTGGGAGTGAAGGTGCGTCTACTGGTTTGATTGTTGCTCTCTGCATCTGTAAACGTAAGACCTCGACCGGATCAGTTTGCTTGTTCTCGAGCCTTGCTATCCTTAGGTTCTGCGCTTTTTCTGCCTCTCTCCTTTCCTTCTCCCGTCGTGCCTTGTCCTGGATGGTATCTATGTTCGTGTTCTTGATTTCATCAAAGAACGTCGTCCAGTCCAGTGGTGTGGGAGATGTGAGTTCTCTTATGACGCGTTGTAGAAACAACTATCCAGATGGTGGTATTCTGAACTATGTGTTGGGTCTGCTTGCCTAAGCTGCTATGCTTGTGGTGACAAGTGCGTTCGACCCTAAAGGGGAAGTAAGTACAGCAGAGATCTACGGGTTGGTGCAAAGGGTGCCGTTCGTCAGCCGACGTAGAGCGCGGGAAAGCGCGTGAGGCGCGAGCGCGAGAACGAAGCGCTTAGGGCAGCCGATGCGCGGGAAGGTAGCGCTTGAGTGGTGCGAAGCGCGGGAAAAGCGCAAGGTGAGTTTACAAGCAGAGGTTCGTAATAGACGTTAAGGATGTTCTTATTGCCAATAGATACTGACTATGGCATGTGACGGATGAGCTTTACACTGATAGTGAGGTGCAGGGAGCTTCTATATGATTCGATCATGTAAAATATGAACTACAGGCGCTTATATATGTATGTCTAAAAATACGCCCCTGAAGCGGAGCCGAAGCGAGTAGGTAAGGTATGTAATAAGGGTCCATGACATGAGAATTGAGCAATCATTAAATAGAATATGGTCTGATATGGAGAAAATGATAGGAACACATACCAGTGAGGTTAGTTTGGACAATGGATGGACGTGCGACGTAGGGCGCTTCGAGCGCAGGAAAGCGTGCCTAATGCGCGCGCAAGAATGCTGCGCTTGGGGCGGCCGATGTGTGGGAAGGTAGCGCGCGCTTGGCGTGGGAGAGTTTCGCTTCGCATAGGGAATGATTGGAAAGGTATTGGCACAAGTTGTGCATCAAACTGTACTCTGAGACAGGTCGCATATATAGCCTCTGCAAGGCCACAGAGATATCAGTCTCTACAGCGTGGCAATGCCTCGCGAACCTGGTGTATGAATACTGGTGCATTTGCTACACCCGCATCGTGAACCAGCTTCTGCAGTCGTCCATGGTAGTGGAGGTGTGACCAAGTGGAGACTCCCGCTACAGTGATGCGCTCACCCACATCGTCCTCTTTGAGTCTCAGTGAGAGTAGCTCTTTCTGATACTCTAGTGTGGACTTTGCGGCCACGACTATGGCTGGCCATTGTGCCTGGAATGCTGTTTTAACGTTGGCCCACGTTGTAGTCTGCGCTACTGTTAAGCTGTTCCACCAGATGTCGGCTTGAGAACCTGCCAAAATGAAGGTACTGAAGATGATGACCTTGGTTGCTTCATCGGTGATTCTGTTAAGGTGAATGTATCTTTCTACCTCTCGCAAGAAGTTTTGCGGGTTCTCATTATCATTCCCGCTGAATAGCGCTGGTGCTGTGGTAGTTGCCATTGGCACGAATTGAGCTTGTGTTGGAACGATTGGTGGTACGACGCTTGTCTTTGATGGTGACCTTAGTTTACTTTTGCTTGGAACGGTGAGCTGGTCTGTGCGTTGGGTTGTTGGGAATGGGATTGGGGAAATGGCTTCTGGGGTTGGTATAACAATATTTGGGCTGGGCGCTCCCAGAAGTGATTCTTCGTCGTCTTCGCGTTCTCCTAACTGCTTGCTGACCTCGTGCTCCGATGCTGATGTATCGTTGTCTGTAAGGGTTCTCTCGATGATCTCTGGGGTATCCAATGGTGATGAAGCCTCTGATGTGAATTCTGAGGAAGTGGCTCCGTCCGCCTTGATGAATCGACCTGTACTGTCTCTGGGCAGAAGAGATTTCTTCTTTGTCTGTTTAGCTGAGGAAAGAGCAGTCATGAGCGTTCCGTTTTTTGTACTCAGAATTTAAAAGGCTATGCTCTGTGCGTGTCTTCCTCGTGGTTCTGACGCAATGGTTCTCGAACGTGTTCTCGTGTGTTCCACGAGGCTTCTAATCAGCTCTGGACTCGGCTCTGGACTTGGCTCTAAACTCTAGGATTCTGGACTCTAAGGGGAAATAACCAAAACGAAGCTTGGTTGAGGCGAACTCACTCTGTTCACCAGTTGGAGCGGTGTATCCACGACTAAACACCTATGTATCAAACGCAAGGGAAGAAGTGGTGAGGCTCTACACTACTACAAAGCCCGAAGAGCACTGAGTGGCTGACTAATCTACGGAGCTATCCGGCTGCTGCTATGCTGCTGCCCCTGGGGTCTCCTACTCCACCGCCATATGCCCTCTAGTCATCGTGGTTGTTGTCCACTTGAACCAGTCCTGAGGAAGCCACCTATAAGACACTTGGTCAGTACATGTGATAGAATGCAGGCAACAGAACTCACGTGAACAGATACTTTGCGCTTGTATAACTCGAACAATTGTAGACAGAATTAAATAGATGTTAATATAAGAAAAAAATGATGCACCTCTTTGTCGGCAGTAGACAACCCATTCCAGTAAGTCGCAAAGACACTCGCTGGTTCCTTTTGATTGCTGTTTGATTGCCACTCGAGGGCACAAAGATTCCTAGAATGATAGAGTTAATCTTGCTATGAAAATAATATATAGAACTCACCGCACCATGATCTTGGGGCTCATGCGCATCGGCTTGGTGCTCAGCTGTCGCTTCTTGATGGCATCAAGCTTCGAGTTGATCGTGGGTTTTGTTTGTTTGGCGTGGGTCACTCCAATGAGTTCCATTTTTACAGCAAGGGAAGCTGAATCGGAACTCGATGAGATCTCTGGCCTGGAGATTGGCATGATGTTGGTGGAGGGCAGCACTACAGCAGGGTTGGATCCTGAACTTGAGGAAACAATAGAAGGTGAAGGGGGTTTCTGTGAAATGGGTCTGGGCCGAGGTTTGAGGACAAGATTAGAGCTAAATGAATTGATCGCATCAGTGTAGCGCATCAATAGAATTGATGACTTACAGAGGGTTTTTGACCTGTAAGATCAGACACGTGAAATTAGTGCCAGGTACAACATGTACTACAATGAGAGACTCCGAGTCACCTCGACAGCAACAACTTCCCTCTCTTTGCCTTTGTCCATTCATGGTGGAGGGGTTGGCTCACGGTCGGGTGTAGTGCCATCGTGTGATGGCGAAGGGGGTGACACTAACTGTACACCAACTATGTCAGTAGTACAAAACAATAATATTAAAACTTACTTCTTCGGTTGATATTGAAGGGGGTGATGCTAGCTATAGACCGATCATGTCAGTAGTGACAAGCAAAGAAGATGAAAACTTACTATATCCTCTGATGACAAATCTATGTGTGGGCGCTTTGCGGTGTGGTTCTCATCAGAGTCAGACAATCTTCTTTTTTTAATGATTGGGATCATTTCGGAGGCAGTCTCTTCCTCTAGGCCCATGTCTTCAGACTCAGCCTTCACACACTTTCCACCCTTTTTCTTGATGTGGTAGTTGTACCATTGGGAATAGTTATCGATCATGAGCCTCGTGGTTTTCCAGTTGTTGGCGCACAAATGAAGCTCCAGGTATTCCTTCCACAACGTGTGAACCAGCCACTTGATTATGTCGAGTGAAGCTTGCCTGATCGATTCCGGTGCAAGTCCTTGGGTATGTAGCTGCCGGAAGCATGACAACATTGTTGTCTGAATTACCTTTGTGCGCTGAGCTGACACAGGTGGTTAGCCTAGGCCGGCTGAGTGTATTTAGATAAATTTTTGATGGCATTTCAAGTGTGTTCGGATGAGACCACTACATAGATAGCGAGTCCAACTTGGTCAGGGCCTCAAGTTCAACATTGTAGTTCTGTGACCATTAAATCTCGTCTTCCTGGCACTACTGTAGTACTGGTCCTTTGTTGTATTGATGGGCTGATTCAAGTCATCTACAACCTGAGACATATACAGTGGCTCAAAAAAGTGTCCCAATGTTTGTAGGTTTTCATGTAATTGTGTTATTGCGAGCCAGGGTGTGAGAATCTGACTAAGTCAAAGGGAGGTCCCAAAAAGCTCCGCTTCTCGGCTACAATTATGTCCCCTATAGCGTGAGAATCCATTGACGCCGTGCGTGCGAAGATATGGCTATTTTAATTAGGTGACTCATTGGGACACTTTTTTGAGTTTCTATTAAAATATGAAAATCAGATCATTTAGACATGACACCATTTACAAATATATATATAAATGGTCCCATATTGACAATATGGTCTCATTTTAATATCCTGTACATATATAAACCCTTCCAATAACATCATGTCCTTTATAATCAGCATGAAGTCTATTTCCTCTTCTCAAAGAGATAATATCCTTTTTCTCTCCACCTCTGGTCTATCTATCAGGCAGATTGCCTCCAAAACTGGTCTGGGGAAGTCAACTATTGCCAGGGTTATCAACCAGAATATTCCCAACAAAGAAAATGTCAAAATGGGTCGTCCTTCTAAACTTACTCTGCATGACAAAAGAGCTCTTGTTCATCATATTATATCTGGAAAGGCCTCTACTGCTGTTCAAGCCACAAAATACATCAATTCCATCATCACTACCACTGTCTCCACTCAAACAGTCAGGAACACCCTCAAGGAAGCCAATCTTAAAGCTGTAGTCAAGAAGAAGAAACCCCTACTGTCACCAGCCCATAGGAAAAGGAGACTAGCATTTGCTTTAAAGCACCAGCACTGGACTATAGAGGACTGGAAGAGAGTTATTTGGTCAGATGAAACTAAAATCAATAGGATGGGGTCAGATGGTCAAGAGTATGTTTGGAAAAAGGCAGGAGATCCACTTGGAGAAAAAGAAGTGAAAGGTACTCTTAAGTTTGGAGGAGGAAATATGATGGTGTGGGGCTGCATGGGGTGGCATGGGGTGGGAATTCTATGTGAGGTGGAGGGGAGAATGAATGCAGAGCAGTATGTCTCCATTCTGGAGGAGTGTCTGCTCAAAAGCATGCAAGAATCAGATATTGATGAAGAAGACATTATCTTCCAACAAGATAATGACTCCAAGCATACCTCAAAGTTGGCCACCAAATGGTTTGAGGACCATGATATTACTGTCCTATCATGGCCAGCACAGTCTCCAGACCTCAATCCCATTGAACATATTTGGGAATTACTCAAGAGAATGCTTGCTGCCTATCAAGACCCACCTAATGGACTATTTCAGTTATGGGAGAGAGTTGTAGTAGAGTGGGGAAAGATTGCTAAGGAGGAGTGTCAGAAATTGATAGAAAGTATGCCTAGGAGGGTAGCAGCAGTCATTAAAGCTAAGGGAGGAAACACTAAGTACTAGAATTATAGAGATTATGTATAATTGATTCAAACTCAAAAAAGTGTCCCAATGAGTCACCTAATTAAAATAGCCATATCTTCGCATGGCGTCAATGGATTCTCACGCTATAGGGGACATAATTGTAGCCGAGAAGCGGAGCTTTTTGGGACCTCCCTTTGACTTAGTCAGATTCTCACACCCTGGCTCGCAATAACACAATTACATGAAAACCTACAAACATTGGGACACTTTTTTGAGCCACTGTAGTAGCTGCTCACGCTGATTTGGCTCGACGTGTTCTCGCAACAGCAATACATAGTATAGGTAACAATAAGTGGTTCATGATCCATCTATCCTATCATACCAATTCAAGATATGATATCTTTCTACTATCATCGCAAGTAGACGCTGTGGCTTCTGTTTCATCGACACTAACACAACTACCAGCTTGGATAGGTCGAGCGGGGTGCACTGTTACTTCATTATCTGCATGATCAAAATGTTCTCCTTCGAGTCTCTCGTCTTGTGACGAGGGAAGGTACCGCTCCGAGAGGTAGACGCTGTGTCTGACATTGGATTTGGAAGAAATGGTACTATCTCTGTTGGCCTGCAGGTAGTATCGCGAGTTCGGGAGTGCGATGAACGAGTTGACATATACTTGACACCATATCATGGATCAGCATGATTCTCGGATAATGTTTTGATCTTACATTTAGCCATTAAACATTCAAGACTGAGAAATACATAGTTCTTCGGCATCACTGCGCACTGTAGGTGACTCTCAGAGCTGTGAGGGACATCACAGTAACTGGGACCTCACTGTAATGATGGCTGTCATCAAACATACACTGCACAAAATGAGTTAAGATATGGAACAGGATGTAAGGAGAATCACCTCGTAAGACAGCCAGTTTCAATTATTAAACCCGTGAGTTTTTGTATAGAAGAATTGGTGCTAAGACGCTGTGTTGGCTTATCAGATTCCGACAGCGAACGGCCCAACTCTTACATAGAGAACCCTGTACGTGAGGTAGCGAGAAGATAGCATAGTAATGATACATTGAGAACATCACCACAACTAATCACGGTCAAAACCATGTACATATGTCGCCCATTCGACTCTAATCAAGTCAGAGAACAGGTGACACTGAAATCTACTCACAATCAACACTTCGTGGGGATCTGTTTGATATGTAACATAAGTGGGTAAATCCAACATGGATATCACTTACCGATAATGTTAATGTCAAGACTATTGCCCTGTCAGTAACATTCTAAGCAGTATGTAAAGCAGACATACCTCAAGTAGACAGGTGTGTGAAGGAGATTTGGGCGTGCTGTGAAGATAGTGGAGGCGGCAAAAGAGGATTGGGTGGTGAGCAATGCTGGTGTAACTTGAGACTAAAACAGTGTGAGTTGAAGAATGATTGCATGAGCAGAGGCTCACATTCTCATGAGAATCTACACTTGAATGCCACAAGTTTGAGGGTAGAGGCAACATAACAGGGAACTGCAGCGCGACTGAGTGAACCGTAAAAGTTAAACAGGATAATGAAATGTACGTCTAGAGGATCAAGAGGCTGACCATTTTGAATGGGAAGACCCAAGCGAAGGAGTTTGCGGATGTGAAGGAGAATGGGTTGCCGTAGGTCTACTGCAGGTAAAGCACACATACAAGATCATTTTTTCCTAAGGGTCTGATCAGCACTCCTCTATGTCCATTCGATACTGCCAAAAATCATTGGAGGAAACAACATTCTTTGCATCGCAGTGAGAACTGGCATCCAATCAGTAGAAGGGCAGATCACATACCATTGAAGGTGAGCTGAGACACATTTTAAGAAAGCAGACCAGGATGTGAAGCAGGAGTGATCAAGGAAGTGACCGCTGGCAGGCCAGGTATCTGAAATGGTGGTCAAGAAGTGCAATCTACACAGAATGAAAACTACTCACAAGAGTTTTTCAATACGGCTGATGCACGCGATCTTTCATAGCCTCAAAAATCAATTCTGGGTCTGGTGGCGTCTGACTGAGAGCTGTGGTGAGGATGGCTAATCATTGCACATTAAAAACCTATGGGGGTTTTATTCAAGACATTGTACTTTATATGTATATGAGAGCACGTACCAGATCCTTCCTTCAAGTTGAGTAACTCTCTGGCAGAATGGCTCACGCTTTTGCAGTACTGAGTTCAAATTGGAGTATGATGGCAACAGCTTTGATCCTACTGTTCCATTTAAATCGGACATAGTGACCAATATCCAATGGCGGAACAGGTGGGGAAAGACCCCAGTTGTCTCCAGCATCGGGAGGGTATTCCAGGAGGACTTCAGAGAGGGGTACTTGTGCTGCCTCGGTAGCTTGTGGGTCTAGCTCTCTAAGGTATGATCCAACAAATCCTCCAATAAGCGCGGCTGTCACATTGTCGAGGTGGCGCTCGACCATGAGCACATAGTCTAACATTCACTTTCGGGAGAGCTTGAGTTTCCAGAGACTGTCTCCGAGAAGAACGCCTGCAATGACCGCTGCGCCGGATGAGCCAAGTCCGCGTCCAAAAGGTATTTGGTTGTGGCAGTGAATACTAGGGGCAGGAGGGAATGTCCTATGGCCATTGAAACATGACGTACATTGTGAGCGTAGATGGCCAAATTGAAAAATTGAAAATTCCGACGCAGTCCTACTGCCCATTATGGATGTGTGACACTTACTGACTCGCGCATCTATCAATCAGTACCATTGTCATATCCCGTATTCCGGACCTACATCCGATAATATTCCCACGCCTCATCCGGACCTTCGGATGTCCTATCCATGTCTCCAGTACCCATCCGGATCCCTGCACCTCTGCACATCCACATCCGCATGTCCACACCCAGATCCCTTATCCTTCGCAGCTAGCCTGCATCATTCATCCTTGTCCCATTGCCCTAATGCCACATCCTATATATCCACGCATCTCATCTGGACCATATCCGATCCGGTCCGATTTGATGTATAGATCTGTTTCCTATCTGATATACGATAAGCTTCGTAATTCATTTCCTGTGCATATAATGTTAACACAGCCTATCCGGTATTCCTTGTTACCGGTACCTCGGTTATATCTATTACCGGTATGCTTACTGATCCATTAACCTATGTTCATTTCTGACTCCCGTTTGTCAACCTTTGCATATGCTTCATACATAGCCTCGGACTCTGCTTATTGATCCTTCCGTTATTTCTCTTAGTATATAAACTTGTGTATATGTCTTGTAGTACCTCAGTCTGAATATCATATTAGTCCTCGCACTAGATCTCACTCTAAGTCCTCATATCAGTTCTAGTCTTCCAACTTAGTTGTTATCCATCTCAGGCCTAGGGAGTTTCTCCCTAGGCCGGAGCTCTGCTTATCCGATACTCCGCTCATCCGCTCATCCGATCCTCCGTAGTTTCCGGAAGTTCATCCGGATCTTTCCCGCGGTCCTCCGGACCTATTCTGCTTCGGACTTTGTCCTTGCAGCCTTTCCTCTGTTTACTTCTACTCAGGACAAGTCCTGAGTAGCCATTATCCATATCCGTATCAGGACGAAACCTCATCATAATTTCCGGAACTTTCCCGCACTCATCCGGAAGTTACTTGCACCCGTCCGGAAAGTCCTTCCGAAGTTTCCCGCGCCTTCGGATGTCTTCGGACTTTCCTCGGACACCAATCTGAAATTAAGGGCACATACTCGGGTAAGGGGCACAGCACACGAGCTGAAGCCAAGCCCCTCAGAATCAGTCCTACCCTTTGTGCATGGTCTTAACAACCATCTACTTTGCTACTATATCATGGAATCTGCCAATGCTCAGATCAACAATGCTCTGATCAATGACGACTCACTCGTAAGTTTTATATTGTCGAGTTGTACATCTTACTTAGCTATTATCATAATCAGGTGCCCGTGTTCCAACCAGATGTCCCAGGCCCGCTGATTGTCAGCGGTTCAGCGGTAGTATGTTATAAGTACATTACATTAATGAAAAAAATTAAACGGTTGCAGAGAGCGTGGAACAACGCAGTCGAAACAGCCCAATACTGAATCCAAAGTCATACTACTGCGCCGCCTACTCCTTTTCAGATAACTGTGGAGGATAAGTGCTGGGTAATGCTGATGGCGTTGAGGGAAGAAGAGTTGCAGGAGACAATGAGATACCTGGAGAATGCGTGGCAGGAGCTCACTGAAGTGAAGAGGCTGTTGGTGATTGGAAGTTAGGATCGGTCGGAGAGAGGCCATCAATATTGTAATAACACCTTGTACTATATCACGAATGACACAGGCCAGAGACATAGGATCACGATGAAGATGCCGAGGCCAATAATGAACACGGAGCAATCGGGTTCTGCTCGCTCCTCCTAGTCGTTCAATTTCTGACCCAGTTGCTCCTGATACCACAGGGCAAACTGTTTGGGCAAATCATGTTCCCGACATCCTTCGCTGTGTCATGAGCATATGATTGAGTACCTGCATCAGACTGTGCAGTTTCTGAAGAGGCTGGTAGTGCAACAAACAGATCAAGGCGATGTAGAAACAACGATACTGAGAGGAACAAAAGATGCTCCTAACTGTATCTAAAAATGTTGAAGGTCATGCGTTGCCTAGTCTGCTATGCTTGAGATGACAAGCGCATTCGACCCTAAAGGGGAAGCAAGTGGAGCGAAGATCTAGTGGTATGCGCTGAAGCGAAGCGCGAGAAAGTGCAGGTGCGCGCAAGGTACGAAGGCGCGGGAAAGCGCGCGCGCGCGTGCGGAAATGGTAGAGAGACTAAGCTTAAGTGATAATATAATGCAATATAAGAGAAGAGAGATGCAAAGTGTAGACAAATAGATTTCTACTATGTTCTTCTAGGTAGATAGTGGGTGGAAAGTATAGTAAGGTAAAGGGAAAGTTAGTTGAAAAGTAAGTTAAGGTGAAAAGTAAGTTAGTAATAGTATGTACTGCTGGCGCTTATATAGCGCGGCTAAGCGCGGTCATGCGGAGCCGAAGCGCTACCGAGTAGGTATGTAAGGATATATATGGGTGAGAGTCCATGATAAAAATAAAGGTGGAACACTATGCTAATAAAGGAAATGGAAATATACGCACTAGGGAGCTTGGTGGACAGTGGATGGATGCATCTGGATGGCTGGCGCTATAGGGCGCGCAAGCGCGGGAACGCGCGCGCGCGTATACATCGTGAAGCGCGGGAATGGTGCGCGCATTGCACGGGAAAGCTGCGCCTCATATAGGAATTGCTGTGGACAGTACACAGAGTGGTGCTGCGAGTTGGTGCTGTATACTCCCTTAGTGGAAACTGCCATATCACGCCATGAGAGGCATGAGTCTCTACAGCGAGATGGCACATTTGAAGCAGGGTTTGGGTTCGATGCTTCGACATTGCTTGGGATTTCAGGTTCTTGTTGTCCGTGGAAATACCTGCAGGAGGATCAGCTTGTCCAGGCATTGAATTTGTCGGAGGATCACATGAAGACATACAAATTGGGCACAAGAATGGCTGCAGCTGTTTTCATTTGCTTAACCCTTCAGCCCAACTGCAAGCACAAAGATTGGGGGAACAGAGGGTTCAAACCAAAAGAGATCCTTTGACAGTTCATCCCAAATGACACACACGTAATAGACTAACAACCTCCATGGTCATATCTTCTGTGGCAGAGTTGATGGACAGTCCACTTGTCGACACTCTAGACACGGTCTATGAGAATTTTTCCTGGCCGGCGAAGAAGTTATTGAGAGGGAGAGTTCTGGAGGGTATGAAATTTGCTTACGAGGAGAAGGAGATGGACAGTATCACATGGGGTGTGTATCCTTGCACAATGCAGGCTTACCACTGCCATCCCCATCCTCATCAATGATGAATGAGATCCACGACACTGCCTTTTCTCCCATCCTTGTTGAGCACGCGCAGATGGGATTGATAGAGGCCACAAAGGCTCAGGAGCGGGGGACATGGGGGAGAGGTTGCCTTCCAGTTGTAGATCTGGGCCGATAACGGTCTAATTGGAAATTCTGCCGATCCACGCCGAGGAATGCCACATGCAGTTTTCCTTGGTGATCCTCCTCACTCAGATTCGAGACGATATTGTAGTCACCACCTAAAGACATGCCCAGTCCACCACCTGGGGAACAGGAAATTTCGGGAGATGTCTGGGTTTCTCAGGTCCGTGTTTCCATTGGCATAAAATAGGGCATTGCACTCGATTTTGACGAGTCCACTCTTCATCTGAGAGATTAGAACATTCGCCAATACTCTCCTTCAAGTTTGTCAAACTAGTGCGTGAATAGCACACAAATTGTAACATACCTCAGATGTGCAAGAGCATACATTTCATCTGTGCCAAAAGAAAGCCAGAGATAGAAAAGGTTTCGTCTTATTGAATATGTATATTCTCAGATTTCTTGAATGAATAGCATCAAGAGAAGCATGAAATGAAGTTCTCGAACCAGACGCACCGTACTCAATGTACCCTGACATTATGGATATTTGTCCATCTAGAAGCGGAGTACGCGACAGGCCAACGTAAGGCACAATATTTGAATGACAAGCTTCTCTGAGGCGATGCTCAATGCCAGTCTGTGGCTAGTAGCAATACTTACTTCATCAGCCTCCACTTAGCATGAATAGAAGATCCATCACTGTCCAAGAAGAAGGAGACAATGGACAGGACAACGATTCGTCAACGTTGGTTTGGTGCCTTGCGGGTGAGTCCTGTGAAGTCAACTTGACGAGTGTGCTGTCAAGGCTTGTGACTCAGAGGGAAGAAGCAGCCGCTGCTGCAAACACTGCGATTAAGAAGTTAGCATTGTTTTAGGCAATACACACAAATCAGGTAGATCAGAAAAATAAAAGGTCCAATAAAACTGAATAAAACTGAATAAAATTGGATAAAAAATAAAATAAAATAATCCTTACTTTTTGTCTCTCCCATGCTGATCCATGACTGCATAGATAACGTTCAGATTGTACCTGTGCGCTAGACTGAAAATTCTAAAAGCCGCTGTTGTTATCGATGAGAAGATTGCCAGCTTTCATGTGTAGGATGTTATTCTGTGAATGGTTTCAAGATAAAATCGAGAGTGAGGAAAAAATAATTTGCACTTGGAAGAACAAGTAGGATGTATACACACCCAAGATCTCAATTATGCATGACTGGTTCATGGCCTTGATAACTTTGATCTTGCGCAAGGCAGTCACAGGCATGCCCTCTTCTCAATAAAGATCATTTGGGCTACCAGTTGCTCGGTGAGATGGTGGACTGCTTGATGGACCTTTCTGAGTAAAATGATGATGAGCTGATGTAAATAGTTAACTTTGAAGAGGAAGGAGAGTGTGATGGTACTTGCCAGCTCTGCAATGGCATCCACCTCATTATCTCCACCTTGCATGAAGAGCTCCTCCAGGTCTGCTACAAACTTGAGTAACTTGAAAAACATGATGCTCCCGCTGTTCCCTTGAACGTGAGAGTAAACACACTGGACACAACTCCACAGGAGGACAAAGTACTCAGCCATGAAGTTTTCTTCTGAAAAACTGTAGAATTGCCACCCTGTTCCAAAGGGCATGGGGGAATGCTCAAGCTCCTTCAGATGAGGACCCTTGTTAGTCAGTTATTTTGGTGAGCATTTAAGACTCTACCTGGAAGTTACATCGATTGTGTGTTATGTGGAAGGCTGAGACCTTGCGCATCAGTAGAACTATAACATAATACCAAACTGAACTTGAATCAGTAAGCACCAGATTATGACAGAATGCAAAAGACTGCTTACAAAGTATGTAGTGCTGCTGAAGACACAGCTAATGAGCAAGAAGATAGTAAATTTGTTCCTTGGGTTTTATCAAAATGAACCAAAAGAAGACGGTTTTGCTCCAACTTGAGCTTGACTGACTCATTCGAACAATTCCGGATTCTTCCGATCGATGGGTATTCCGGTAACCTTCGGTACCCCTAATTGGTGATCACATCGTTCCTGCTTCCCGAACCTCCATTTCCAACTTTACACAGTCATTGAAGCTTTATTCAGAGATCTCTCTGCTGCCAAACATTCATAGAGATTGGTGATGTTAAGACTCGTGGTATCGGTAGTACAAAGTCGAGAAGGGGACCAGCGAACATCCGACTAGCAATACTGTGACTACGCGACTGGAAGAGTCGAGAAGAATGAAGCGGGTACATCCGAGACAAGTCTCAGAGACTTGGTGGAACCAAAGCCCCCACTGTTTGGAACAACAATGCACAAATCACCAATTGGCTGGGTTTCAATGGGCAAGATGTCCATCATATTCCTAAATCTCTTCCCTGTCTCCTCTGTCATGATTCTCGGAAGACCTGACTTGGGAGCGATGGGCAGGACATTGCTCCCTCTAAATGTAGAGCATGATCAATATGCTGAAACAACCATCCTAAGCATGCACTTTATGAAAGGGAGAGCCTTCACTCTTCCCGTGAATATTGGGAACCTGTCTGGATAGGTGTACATATTGTCTAGGGCTGACATAATAATCTCGTTCATTTCTTCTGGTCCACGACAGTTGATCACAAGTGCTTCTCTTTCTTTCAAGGTAATGACCATCAACTGGTAGAGCTGAAATACCAATGCAGCATCTGTTTTTTGAGGAGAAAACGCGAAGGGCATACAAACTTACCAACATCATCAAATTGCCCACCAGTTTCTGGGCTAGACAGTTGAAATCTGAAAAGACTTCTTCAGGAAAGAAATCTGCTAGCCTCACACTACATTTTCCATCCACCAACTTGCTGGTTGGGTGAAAGAGTGACGCCCAAAGGAGCTCTGAAAAAACATGTTCTCCGATGAGCTCGGAAATCGCCTGGCGCACCTGAAAAACAAAAAAAAATTGAGCTAGTGCCTCAACTGCGGTTTCAAGTCCCATACGTCATTGATGTTGTTCAAGTTGAAAAGACCCACGAAGTGAGTGATCCTCATCTCTACTGTATCAAAAGAGGCACAAAAGTTGGTGTATGGTGACATTCCACCTTTGATAACCTTCCTTAGTTCCCCCTTTTATTCGTCAAATGCCTTGGCCAGCTGCTAGCATCAGTAAGGGGAAAGCGAAGGAAAGAGAGAGCACACATTCCTACGGAACTCCGGCCATCCAGCAGAAACAGTCACTCTGTTGGCAAATGTGATGACCACTGATGAAACTGTAAGATAGCATCAGGTAGCATCTAGGATGCAAGGCACTGACCTGGTCACTCCAGCATCTCCTTGTAAGTCGTGTAGGTTAGGTGAAGTGCGGTGAGAAAGCTATTGGTCACCTGGCGTTGTACTTCCACCTGATGAATCATAAATGGGTTTTGGTGCTCTCCTACCCACAGACCTCCAACAAATAAGGCCCTAGTGAGCATCATTATCCGCCACCAAAATGTCTTCTTCATTGCGCAGTGTAGGGATTCATTTCTGGCTGGGCTAGTAGAGACTATTTTTACCTTACCTTATGTTGGCACTTTTGTAGCTTACATAAGCAAGTTATCTTTTCACCAGTTACCAGTATGAGTCTGAGAGATCAGCAAGTTTCTATCATATTTCCTCTTCTCTGAGCCTTGAGCCTGGTCCAGAAACCCTTTAGGGTCGAATAGCAGCTAGGTTCTGCAAGACCCAACACATTGTTCAGACTCACCATCTGAATTGTTGTACCTTCAGTGGGTGAGGCTCTCTTGTTGCTTTCTGTTCAAGGTGTCCCACACACCACCCTTAGACTGTCTCCATTGCAAGTCAGGATGAAAAACCTCCAGGGCTGGCTCCTTGGTGAGGACCCCATCTACTTCGTCTACTTCATTCACTTGATCCAGAAAGGGCAGAGCTGTATTGTCGATACCACTGAGAGAGGTTATAGTGGACAATTCCCAGTAGTTGTAGCTGCAATCAAGCTCCTCAAACTCCGTGGGTGTGAGGTCAAAAGCAGGAGCCAGGAGGACATCTGAGAGCGTGTTGTCAAGAGCACTTGAATTGGCGGGTGTTACGCACTCAAATAGATCTGTTATGCGGAGCCCTGAGAGGGGCGTCGTCCGCTAACGTTCGTGACGTAACCGGAAGGGTCCGGTGTAGCGACTGAGACTGGCGACGTCGAGTCGGCAGATATCAGAGACGCGCGTGTCACGTGACTTCTAAGACGGATGTCTTCAAAGTCACTAACGATCTCAAAGTAAGGACAGTCTTGTCCGAACGATGAGGTGGTCGATCGAGGTAGACTTAGGCGCGATGAGCACCTAAGAAAAGATACTAGAGACTGAAGCTGAGGGGGCTTCAGAGGAAAGTATGTTCGAGGGAAGATTGAGTAGATTCAAGTTAGGGAATCTAGTACAGAGTGACCGACTACTTATACTAAGTGGAAAGGGTTAAGGGCAAGGCTACCGTACTGTAGGTAAGGGCAAAGGGGAAACGGAAAGGGTATAGGTACGGTGGTGGCAGAGCCTGATTAGTGATGTAAGGTCGAATGCGGAATGAGACCGAGAAACGTTGGAACGAGCCAACGGTAAATGATACAATGTGCATCATGCACGAGTCAAAGGAAAGATAAGACAAGATAAGGAAAGCCACATTGGTGGCACGAGTCAGAACGAGTCATAGCCCGAAGGCACGTGCGCACGTTGGTGCGATGGGAGGGGGATGAGGGACGGGAACGGTCCCAAGGATCCGGTCAACGGATATTCGGTAGAGAAGTGCGAGCCGGAGGCATACGAGGGCGAGGACGAAGGGGAAAAATGATAGGGGAGCCATGTAGCCGATGTTACTTGTAACATTACCCCCGTTTCAAGGTAGAGTTCCACGAACTCTTTAATCGTCGTCCAAAGGAACGTAGTCGTCCTGGTTGTTATACCATGCGGGGTCGAAGTCGAGGTCTTCGAGCCAGGAGGCGGCTTCGATTGCATTCTCTTCGCGTTCTTGCTCAAGGCGAGCAGCGTCCTGGTCATACGCAGCTTCAAGCTGCTGCATGTCCCTGTAGAACCGGTCGGAAGAGGTTCCACGACGAAGGATCTTCCTGCCGTCAAGTCGAGGGCAGAAGGGAGTGAGATGTTTTGGGGCAAATTGCCCACAAATGCGGCAGAAGTATTGCGCGCAGTGTTTCTGTTTGTGTCCGTAGACACGGCACTGGCGGCAGACAACGTTGCTGCGGTAGACCTGGGTGGTCTCGGTGGCATTATGACGCGCGTCGTTGATGGCGTCTTCCTGGGCTTCCTCGCGAGGATAGTGCCTAGTGAAGTTCTGGGTGCGCGGTCGATGCGCATGGGAGAGGGGTAGTCCTAGGGACAAGATAGATCGTGCACGAGCATGGTGATTTCGGCGTTGCGGAGTGGGAAGGGGTTCCGGCGAACCAATAGAGAGGTGTGGGACCGTCTCGGTGGGTACCCAATCGTCGGGGTTGAGAACAGGTGATGCGGGGGGGCATTCATCCAACTCTGGGATGATGATAGAGATGGTGTCGGCATCGAGGATGGGGGAGGGGTTACGTGGAGCGTAGAGCTCGCGTTCGTATTCGTTATAGAGACGGTCGATCTCGGGGTTGGTCAACTGGGTGACATTGGGGATCTGCTCTGGTGATTCAGAGCGGGGTAGCTGGGGAAGGAAGGGGGTCGGAGCTCTGTCATAGACAGCACGCTCAACGACTGCAAGCGGGTCGGGAGGGGGATTAAATGCCCGCTCCTCCTCGACGGCCATGACGGCGGCATGGAAGTTCCTAAGTTCAAACAGATTTAGCAAGGCTCGTTTGATCTTGCCTTGGTTGTATCTGGTTGAGACGGTGGATAGGGCAGTCTCCCTAGCCAGGTCAATCCTGGCGATATCGCCGGTGAGAGCATCGGTGGCCCTGAAGGCCTGAACGAGGTTCATGGTTACGTCGTCATTGGTGCGGTTGAGATAGTTGTCGAGTCAGATTGCATACTGGGGATCGCAGATGACTGCTTCCCAGTAGGCCCGTTGCCTGTCTTGGACAACTGAGCGAAGGGATGGTCGTCGGAAGACGGTGTAGGAAGGCCTATCATGGCCATGCGTTGGCTGGCTCGTCGGGTCGGGGTCGGAGGCAGACGCATGAGAGGTAGCGGATCGGTGCGAGGAAACAGACGACGCTGAGGCCGACATAGTGGAGCGTCTTTCCTTGGGTAGTGGCGTAGGTGGGGTATTGGGTAGTGGGTCTCTGTTTGTCGACGGGTGTGGATTTCTTGGGGCGGTGGCGATTGCGGATTCGTTGGCGGTGGAAGGCTTTGGTATCGGTGTGGATGGGTTCGCTGGTGGGGTCAGCCCTAGTGTAGTGAGGGCGGTAGGAGAAGTTGCGGTGGCGGTTGTTGATCAACATGAGATGGCGATTGAAGCGATCTTGAGTCGCTTCTTATACGCCTTCAGGAGCTCCGCTGCGGACTTCAATTCTGTTTCGGGGAGCCACGTTCGTTCGGAGGCAGGATAGCCAACCCAAGACACGAGGTACCGGCGACGCGATCCGGTACCCTTGTGTTGGAGGATAGCTTCCACTTCGTAGTGTTCCTCTCCATCGATAAGATCAGGAGGAGGTTCGGTGAAATTCGGTCCATGCACGTCTGTCTCCTGATAGGAGGAAAGTTCCGAAGCATGGAACGTGGGGTGGATACGCCAGCTGGCAGGCAGCTTGAGCTGGAACGTGATGGGGGAGAGGACCTTCTGGATTGGGAAGGGTCCATATCGTTTCGGGGCGAGTTTCCTAGAAGGGAATCCGGTGATTAGGTTCATGGCGGATAGCCATACCTTATCACCAACGTTCCATGGCTTGTAACGCTGGCCATAGGAACGATCAGCCATGCGTTGCTGCGCGAGGCTGTGGCATGCAAGGGCTTCTTCGCGGATCTTGGCGAGTGATTTGACTCGGTCTTCGGCGGTTGGTAGGGTAGAGTCGGGGAAGAGATGGGGGATGCCTCGTGGTTCGTAGCCCATCATGAGATAGAAGGGAGAGGCATTTCTGGCAGAGTGTCGTCGGGAATTATGAACAAATTCGGCCATAGGCAAGTGCTTTGCCCATTCGGAGGGAGTCGTCCGGCAGTAGATCCGGAGGTAGGTTTCGAGCTCTTGGTTGAGCCGTTCGGTCTGGCCATCTGTCTGAGGGTGATAGGCAGTGGAAAGTGCGACTTGGTAGTCGAGGAGTCGTCCTAGCTCCTTTGCTAGCTTCGAGGCGAATTGGGGGCCTCGGTCCGAGATGATCTTGTCATAGAGTCCGAAGCGCATGAACACTTTCTTGAAGAAAAGTTCGGCTACTCCTTCCGCTGTGATGGTTTTTCTGCAAGGGCAGAGAATTACCCCCTTCGTAAGCCCATGGTCTACCACGACCATGACAGAATCGTAGCCGGCGCTCTCGGGGAGGTCGGTGATTAAATCAACCGAGACCTGAGCGAAGGGGTGGAGGGCCGAGGAGGGTATCGGGGTGAGGGGAGGTGTCGTTGGGTGGGTGTTAACCTTCATCTGCTGGCACATGGCGCAGCCATCGACGTATTTCCTAATGAAGGAGCCCATTCCGGGCCACCAGTAGGATTTCTTGACGTTCCATTCGGTACCGGAACGCCCGGGGTGCCCGGCGGTTGGGTGATCGTGATGTAGAGACAACACGCGATGCCGGAGGTCGGGGGGAACGTAGGCACGATCTTTATAGAAGAGAACACCATCGGTGAACCTCCAATAGGAAAGTGCAGACTTCATGGGGGGTGCGCACACCCCGGAAAGGGCGTCCAAGGCTGTTTTCACAGTCTGGTCGGAGGGCTCGTCAGAGAGTCGTTGAAACTCGTCTGCGAGTTCAGCGTCGATTAGACGGGTGAACAAGGTGTCGGGGAGGAGGATACGATCCTCGTTATCCTGACCAGCTATGGCGTGGTCCGGACGGCGAGACAAGGCATCCGGTGCAGCGAGCTTTGTTCCAGGAACATGGTGAAGGTCCAGATCAAAGTTGGTGAGCGTGAGGTGCCACCGGGCCTGTCGTCGAGTGAGTCGTTGTGCGGAGCGGAAATAGATCAGGT